GGGACTCAGTACCTTGGTCTGGTGGTCTGGTGTCCTCTGCGTCTTTGTAGTGTGGAATCAGGTGGCTGCCTGTCTGCAGCGGGGTGATTCAGTGTCTTCCGCACGACTGAGGACCTCGGTAGGGCGTGCACAGACCTGCCTGTCTTCAGCTGGCTGATTCGGCATGTCAATAGCAATTAGTTTTGAAATATTCACATATGGTGTAGTAAGGACAAAAGAATTGGTTTTAACAAGAACTATGTACTTATCCTTCATAAACCCAACAGACAATTTTTCAGTAAAGCGAAGCAAACTTGAGAGTAATGTCTTATTTACTTTTAAGGCCACATGCCCCTCTATGAATCAGAAATTCTGAGCCACAAAACTTCAGGGTCCAAGGATGGCCTCAGAGCAGAGACCTTCCCAAATAGAAGGAAGTTGGAGTTAGCATTCAGAAGACACAATATTCTTTTAGTTATGAGGAATTAATTTTGAAGGAAATAAGTGGATTTAGTTCTATCAATGTGTAGCATCCTAGGGACATAGGACAGCACTGCCGTGGTTGAGCTTATGTCATGAGGCCCTGTGTGGCAACATTTATGAATAAATGTTTTGCCTGGAAGTGTGTGGGTTATGTGGGGTTTGTTGATCTTACAATTTTCCGGAAGAACAGTGGTAAGAGATGAAAGCAGATTCTCATCAAAGTGCAATTAAGCCACAATAATACTAAAGTATGCTATTAATGCTTCTCTAGATTATTAGCACTTTCTTCTTTAGAGCAGTAAATTCTGATTCAGAATGGAAAGCCCAGGAATTCATCTGCTCCACCAGCTTAAGAGAGGAGCCAGGTGGGGTGGTGCACTCCCGTGCTAGATATGCTGCTTCATGCAAAGGCCCTGGGTTCAATGCCCAGGACCAAAAACAGAACAAAACAAAGTAAGAGCAGCCATTCATTCTCCCACTGTCATGATAGCCTGTGCCCTTTTGCAGCCTCCAGTCCAGGGTGGTGAAAGATAATAGGCAGGCAGGAACTCTTGGGCACAAAGACTCTGAAGGGAGACTCACACAGTGGCAGCAACCCTGGTTTTAGTGATGTGCCTTTTCTGCAGAGGAAGGTTTCGCAGAAGGAAATAACTCTCGGAGCCCGTCCTCTCTTGGCTTGGCGTCCACGTTCGTATTCAGCTGCTAGGAATGCAGGGTAACATTCTGCCAAGCAGAAGGCTCTTGAGAAATTCAGGTTTCCCAGCACCCTGCAGATGTCCTGCATTTACAGTCTGGCCAGTTAACTGCTCCTTTCTCTTTCCGTGGTGTGAAAGACGAAGAAGCCTGCCTGAGCTCCGCTTGTGAGCTTCCTCCCCCTCCAGGCTCACTGCCCGTGGGTTGCACAGCCCACTGGACCTGCTCAGAGCTCACTATCTGTGGCCCTGCCAGCCTCTCCTCCATTCCCGCTACTGAGAAATAAATACTGGACATCCAAATTCTTATTTCTTTTCAGTGTTTGAATTTTCTTTCAATGTATTTCAAATTTCTTTTCTAAACTTTATGTATATATATTTATAAATATATGAAAAATTTTCATAACTTTTGCATTAAAACAGAATCTTTATTTAATTCCATTTAATTAGTGGAAACTCTATGACAGATATAGTCATTAAGGAAAAGAGATTTCCCCGCATTGAACATAACTGGAAGATTCTTCACTTTCCTTTGAGTGAACTATGAAGAGAATCACTGGCTATATATACTCACTGACACACGTATGATTTTTGAAGAGAATACAAAAAGTAGCAACATTGCTTATCAGCATTTTATTTCATAATTAGCAATGACTGACCAGGAGACAGTAATTGCCAGCAAGTATTTATTAAGTATAGAAGGTTACACCCAAATATATTGTAAAATAGACAAACATGAAATAGAAATCAATAAAAGAGAGTAAAGCTATCAGTATGTAGTGAGGATGATTAGTTCAAAGAGAGGATATCAGTACGTGTTCAGACAAATCCTGGGTTCAGTTTAAATAAATGATCAATTAATTTTCATTCAGAATTGATTGAAGGGATCAAATAAAAAGGGAGGAGAGGAGAGGAGCAGGAGAGAGAGGTGAGCGCTGTGGAGGTTTCCAGCCTAGAACACAGGGACAAAGCACCAGGTGTGAATGTGTAGTGCAGGGCACTTAAGTCTGCCGGATGTCGGGATTATGTTCATGGAAAGGACAGGAATGTGTTTGGCTTGAGCCAGGCTGAGACTGAGGTGTTGGGAGGTCATCCGGGTGATGTCCTGACCCAGAGGAGCTGAAGCCTTCAGGCTCCTGTGTGAGCAGCAGACTTGCTGTTCCCAAGCTGGAGACATCTTGGATGCAGATTCAGCTGTCTCTGTTGTGGCTTCAGTGAGGCTGTGGTCAACACAATGCCCAGGGGTGACCACACAGGCAAACTCACCTCAGTCTGAGCTCATTGTTTCTTCCCGAGTTAGAAAGACAGTCAGTCCCAGTTTCCAAAGCATAAATGTAGTGACTTCATCATTCAAGTAATAATGTTTCTGCCTCTTCCTATGAAATCTTAAGGATGCTTTTTTTCAAATGTGTATCTTCTAACAAATTGTTATGTAAGGAAATTCTAGAAACATTTCTTTTCCATTTCCAGTTTGAACGGCTGAACCTCGCACTTCAGAGAACACTAGCAAATCATAAAATAAAAGACAGCAGGTAAGTGGCACGATGGAAGCTATATGAATTCCCAGTTACAATTGCTAAAGAGAACCAGCACCCACTGAGTGCATGGACTTTCATTGCTCACTGTGGTGTGCTGGAAACTGGAATAGATGTTTCAGTTGTCACTAATTTGAAAGTAAGTGTATTCAATTTTCACATTTTATAGATGACTAGACTCAGGTTTATTCACCATATGTAGGGTTTCATTGTTGTTTCGGAAAAGACCCAGCCCAGGTTCAAGCCTGAGCTTTGTAGCATTCCTGCATTATCTACACTGCTGCTTCAACACGCTCCTCTTAGCCTTTCTTTCATACCGAGGGACAGTGCCCCCCAAAATCAAAACATTCCTTCTCTGAAGGGTGTTTCCAGAGATCCAAGTGGGAAACCAGGGGCACCCAAAGCCCAGCACACCTCAGGAGAAGGGGCAGGTGTCTGGATACTGCAGAAAGAGCACCAGGCCGGGGGACCGTCTGTGAACCCTTGTGGGAGGCTTCGGTAGGTATTCTCCTAACCGCCTCGCTCTCCCTGGTGAATATCAGTTCCGCTTCTCTTCTTTTCTTTGCATTCTGTTGTAACATTTTCTTAAAAAGGTTTCTGAAAATGCCTCATATATGGTGACATTTTAATAAAATATAATTCCTATATGTGTAGCCTGGCACATTTACTGCTGTGGGAAACAGATGGACCTGTCTTGATTGTCCCCATTTCAAAGATTATTTAATTTGTGAAAAGTGGAATAACTGCTTGAGTTCAAATTTCCCGAATAGAACAGACCAGTCCATCCACAAGCGAGATTTGGCAAATGCTTCCATCTACCTCGACTCATGAGTGGATCTGCAGCCCTGTGGATTGTCTGCTGCATTTTCCTTGCTGACTAGTGGGTCCTGGACTGCAGGCAGCAGGACCGAGCCAAGCAGGGGTCACGGATGGGCTGGGAGGAGCGAGTGCGACTGTCTGACAGGAGCTTTGTTTACATGAGCGATACACAGAGCATTCCAGGAGCCTCTGACCTTAGTCCTCCTAGGGCTGATAAGACACCACGAGCCGTTCTTGCTCTGCGGCTGTGGCTGTCTGCTGACGTCCTTGGCACTCGGATCACTCAGATTTCTTCTCAGGGCTCTGTGGGCCACATAGAGATGCGCAGTGAGGCTGTTTCCAGGACTGTCTCTTAAAAGAAATCTCACCACTTAAGCAAACAGTAATCATTGCATTAGGAAATCTTGAGAAAGCTTTTCCCACTTTCCTGATTTATTAAAGAAAAGGAGTTGGTTGTACTTTTAAATAATAGTCGTTCCGTAGCTCATATAAGCTTTGTACTCCTGAACTGCTCTCTGCCTGCTGCAGCCCCTCTCTGCCGGTGTGCTCTGCCCTTGGCCCGCTCTGCCCTTGGCCATCTTCTCTGGCTCTCTTCTCTCTCGGCTCGTGTGGGCAAGTCGGCTACCTTTCCTGCTGTTCCACGTGCCATGCACTGAACACACCTCCACCACGTTTTATGCTATTTAGTCTATTCTGGCCTTGAAAAAAATACATTAAACAGAAACTGGATCTTGGCTGAAGGACAGAAGACCCCACTGACACCACTGTTGTTAAGGGAATGAGTTTCGGTACAGCCATTGTGATCTCTTCAGCTCAGCTGCTCAAAGAGCTTTTGCTTTGTATTTTCTGGGGTCTTTTTGATCCCATCATTCTGTAATGACCACATGGCTGTGTGTGTGCATGTGTGTGTGACACATAGTGCATTTGCTGGTGTACGTGCAAGTGCTTATGCCTGCTCGCATTTCTGAAGATGAGGGCAGGGAATTTAACTGGCACTGCCGTGTGCTGCTTGGACCAGCCACACCTTGCTCACGCCCCGGTGCTGGGAGCAGAAGCATCAGAGTGAGGCAGTTGCTCTCATTCTTTAGAAAAAGAAAAGTGTTGCTTAGATGAGGGAAAAGGAGCCAATCTGAAGATTATTAAGATTGTTAAATATAGGGAAAGGTGTAACAAGCAATTTGCGAACCTCTGGGTCCAAGCTGGACATGACATGCAGTGATCCTCAACCCACTGAGATGTAGCATTTCTACCTAGCATTTCAGTTATAAGCAACGTACCTTCAAATGACAAAGGGAGCTGTGTGTAAACATGGCCCATCTAATGGGAAACTGAGTCACAAAGAGAGCCATTGCTGTGTAAATAGCAGTATGGCAAATCTGAGTATAACTGGTCATTATTATCAGAAATTATCAAACAACAGTTAAGCAAACACGAACCACCGAGTTGTCTGGTTGAAGTGTCTGAAACCTCTTATTAATCAGAATGTGTACACTATGTTACCAACTTCTCTACTGTAGAAAGCAGTGCAGTAATATTAAAGAACAGGGTTTTTGTTACTAATGCTTTTATGTAAGACTAAGGATGAAAGTTTAATATAGTACTGTCTGAGAGATAAATATACAGAATCTTAAAGCAAGAAATACTATGTGTTTGCTTTAGAAAAAAATACAAAAGAGTGACACTTAAAAGTGAAAGCCACCTGTACGTAGATTTGTCTTCTTGACTGGATGATCAGAATACCCCTGAGGATCTCTCCCTCTCTCTCTCTCTCTCTCTCTTTCTCCCTCCCTCCCTCTCTCCTTCTCTCTCTCTCTCTCCCCGCCTCTCTCCCTCTTCCTCTTGTGCTCAGGATGAACCCAGGGCTCACAGTGCATGCAGAGCAAGTGCTCTACCACTGAGCCTCCCTCTCAGCCACACTATCCCCTCCTGGGCCAGTCCACAATCCTGCTTTCCTGACACTGCATTCTCATAGTATTGGCCAATTTAAAGAGAACTTCAAGCCAGGGCCTGGTGGCACATGCCTGTATTATAGCAGTCTAGGAGGCTTAGGCAGGAGGATCCCTCATAGTAAGACCCTGTCTCAAAATCAAAATTATAAGGGCTGGGGATGTAACCCAGATGTGAAGGCCCTGGGTTCAATTCCTAGTTACCATGATAGATGATAGATAGATTATGGATAGATGGAATATATTGGACTTCAAAGGCAAATGTGCCTCACTAGAGTGAGGAAACACTGGATATTGAGTGTATTTGGGGCTTTTGCAAAGTTGTTTTGGATTGTACCTGTCACCACATTCCTGCAAAACCTTAAGTCAGGACTTACCCTACAAAACCACCCATCATCATTCCTGTATGTTCTACATCATCGGAATTTTTAGTGTTCAGTTATCAGTTTATAATTTAAGGTAATTGAATTATTTCCAGGAACTCCTTGGATAAAGAAGACTTTGAGAAAATGATTACAGACCAAGCGATTGCAGCAGGTAACGGAATTGTTTACGTTGATGTAATTAGGATGTATACCTCATGCCCACAGACCTGATATTTTCTCTAAGAATATTCCTGTCAGTTTGCTGGTGAGTCGTAGTCTGAAGTGTCCCTATTATTAACTGTGCTGATGTAAACAGTAATGCTTCTGTATGCTACATGTTTCTGTTTGACCTCAGACATTTCCTCTTTCATCATATTTATTTGCTGAGAAATAGATAAGGCTAGATGGGAAGCTGACTCACACAAGTTCACAGGCTTTAACTTTGAAGTTAAGTGTTCCTCATTCATACATGAAAAATTCTGCTCAGCAAGGTGGAAGAAAGACTTTTTTAGGAAGCAGTCCTGGGGAAAGAGGGAGCAGTGTTCTCACATTAATAATTACTTTGGGGGGAAAATAGATGAGTCAAAGTTTGAGTACATGGATCAAGAGGTTGCATCTTTCAAAAAGTGCAGGCATGTTATTATTATTACAATGGCTCATTGATATTGAGCCCTTCCTAGAAGCCACGCATGACTTTAAACACATCCCTGTGGACCACCGTGGTGGCATAAAGAGGACGGCATTGTTTTTCCTACATCAAAGACAAGAAAGATATGATACCTAGAGTGTAAAGAATAAAAGAAGTTTTGAAAGGGGAAGCTGTAGAAAATAAATATTTTAAGCAAATAATTCATTCAGGTAACATTAAATACTAAGAGTCCTATTTTGGGCAGGGGATGTAGCTCAGTGGTGCTGCACCTGCCTTGCAAGCACAAGATCCTGAGTTCGATTCCCAGTGCTGAAATTTAAAAAAGTCCTATTTTACTGAGGAAGGAAAAAAAAACATTATAGTTATCTCCAGAAAAATTGAATTTCAGTGACTTTAAATTAATTTCAGAGTCTGACATTTACACTTCAGGAAGCCTTTTGAGGGGAGAGGTCCTTCATGAAGATGTATCGTACTGTTTGTTATTTGTTAATAGAAAAACGGGAAGGCTTGCTTTGAAATGGATTTAACTCTGGACGCTTAGCTTTTCATTGTTTTGATTTGGGCTGAAGATTGAACCCAAGGCCTCCCTCCTGCTAAGCAAGTGCTCTGCCACTGAGCCGCACCTGACCCCTTCCTCCTGGAATTCAAATTTACCGTTTAAAAGGAGTATTTTGTATTCCATCGGTCATTTTTCTAGACATCAACTCTGGGGACTTTTATGCCGAGGTGCTAGAATTGAGACGCTCCTCTGTGTAGGTCACTGGAGTGTAAGTATCTGATTGAGGTGAGAACAGGGTAGCCAGGGACAGCATCAGGGCCTCCGCCAGGCTGGCGCATGTGATGGCAGAGATGTGCTGTGTGCTTTCAGGCGTTCCCGTGGAGATCATCAAAGAATCTCTGGGTGAAGAACTTTTTAAAATGTGCTATGAGGAAGACGAGCACATCCTGGGAGTGGTTGGCGGCACGCTGAAGGACTTCCTGAACAGCTGCAGCACCCTTCTGAAGCAGAGCAGCCACTGCCAGGAGGCAGGGCCGCAGGGCGGGTTGGAGGCCGCCTCCATCCTCTGCCTGGATCAGGACCCCGAGCTCCTGCACGTTTACTACTTCTTCCCCAGCAGAAGCACCGCTCTGCTCCTGCCCGGCGTCATCAAGGCCGCGGCGCGCACGCTGTATGAGACCCACGTGGACGTGTCCCTGGCGCCGCCCTGCGCACACAGCGACTGGGCCGCGTCGCCCGAGCAGCCCCACCTGCTGTACTCCGTGCGCGTGAAGAGCGCCAGGCCGGCCCTGTCCCCGGGCGGACCCCCGTCCTCGCTGGTGATCCCCGCCTCGCTCTTCTGCAAGACCTTCCCGTTCCACTTCATGTTCGACAGGGACCTCAGCATCCTGCAGCTGGGCAACGGCATCCGGAGGCTGATGAGCAGGAGGGACGTGCCGGCGAAGCCTCACTTCCGGGAGTACTTCGAGATCCTGACCCCCAAGATCAACCAGACGTTCAGCGGGATCATGGCGATGCTGAACATGCAGTTTGTGGTGCGCGTGAGCAGCTCAGACAGCTCCGTGAACAGGGCTTCGAGGGTAAGGGCGGCTGCACTGTCTTCCGTGCGAACCGAGGCCACGCATCTGGGGACCCGAAGCCGGCCGGTGACAGTGCGTGCGTCCCTTCAGTGTGGTGTGCTACACTTACGGCTAAAGCCACGCTAAAATAGTTTAAACCTTGGAATGGGCACCCAGTCCCTTCTGCATTCATCTGCGTGGTTATGTGAGGCATTACTTCACAAATATTTATGGCATAAATTCTGCCTTTTAAAATCTTTATGAGGTATTTTATAACTAAAATAGTGAACGTTTATATAAAAACCTGTTTTCAATTAAAAGTAATGTTTTACAGTAAACAAACAAAAAAGACATGTTGCCAGAGGCAACAAAATAGATTTTTAATCAATGCTTAATAAGCGTGGAGATATAAATAATTTGTTTGATTAATTGTTACAAAATATGGGGTGGGCATGTTTTATAATACAGTAGCCAAACGGAGAATTTTGCAAATTATCTAATCTCAGGAAGGAATCTTAGAAAAATTTATTTCATCTTGGTCATTATTTATTCTATGCTAATGCATACTTAATAGTACGAAGAGGTAAGAGAACAGTTTCAGACTCATACAATCCCAGCAAGTGCTATTTGTTCTGCAAGTGAAAACCACTTTGACAATTTTATCCTGAAATAATCTAAATGTTTTTAAAAGTGATAATGCACAAAGATATCCATTGTAGCAAAGGATCAAAAACATGAGTCATGTACATTTTTGCTTACAGGAAAACCAAAGCTATTTCAGGGTTGCTTTGTTCACCCTCGGGTACTCTTAGATACAGGCCTCTCTCTCCTCTGGGTGTTCTGCGGTGTTCCAGGGCACGGCTGTGTGTTCGTTCCTTGCCTCCTGTTGCTTTCCTCCTTCACTCAGTGGACATACATGTTCACATGTGTCTGTGTGACGCACATTAATCTTTTGTGCCTTCACTTGAAGCTCTCCGTTTTTCAAGGCACACTGGGTGAAATTCATTCTGTTGTCTGGTTTGGACTTTTGTTTTTGTTGTAGAAGGCAGGGATGGGTTAGGTCCTTAAGGTAAAGTTGAGATACAATTTAGCCTCTCCTATGACATCCAGCTTCTCACTTTGAAGTTTTGGAAAAAATAACTTCCATAAGATAGCTCTGTGGTGCTACTCATGGCAAAAAGAAAAATGTTAGGGTAAAAATGTTACATTTGAAAGTTTTAACTTCTGTACCTGCCAAATGGAGCAAGTCGTTCATGGGAGAATGGAGGAGAAAGATAGCTGGGTGTAGTGCCCATATCTGCAATCCCAGCACTCTGGGAGCCTGAGGCAGGAGAATCACAAGTTCCAGCCCAGCATGGACCATTTGACAACTAGGCAAGACCTTGTCTCAGAATAACAATGATGATGATGATGATGATGATGATAAAAAGGCTGGGTATGTAGCTCAGTAGGAAGAGCCAGGGTTCAAGCTCTAGTACTGCCAAAAGAAAAGAGGAAGAGGAGGAGGAGCAGGAGGAGGAGGAGAAAAGCAAGCTAAAACAGGAGCAAGGAAAGGGAGAGAAGGAGGGAGGGTCAGGGAGAAAGGAACAAAGACCATGTTCGTTTTTCCTTTTTTATTAGTCCATGTTTGCATTACCTAATGGATACTTTCGTCATGGGGAGTTGTTAATGTGCCTGTCATATCTTAGTGCTTTTTACTTCCCCTTCTCCTTCTCCCTCCATCCCTAGCTCTCTTTTCCATCTGCAAAAGATCTTCCTTCCTGTTTTCATGAGTGTCACAAATTATACAAAGAAATGTAACTCTAGGGCGGGGATTTAGCTCAGTGGCCCCTCGCCTGCCTCGAAAGCTCAGGGTTGTGAGTTCGATCCCAGGTACCAAAAAAGAAACGTAACTCTAGATTAATTGAATAATGATATCAAAAGACTGTAAGATTTCTGTTTAGTGTGTATTCCAATATATTCTTCCAGCATCTGTGTGGGATTCGGAGCTCCTAGCAAATGGGAATGGTAAGAAAGAAGGTAGGAAAGAAATCAGAGTTGAAACACACAAAAACATTAGCACTGTCTTTCCCCTCTTCATCTCAGAGAGATGTTGGGGACTTGAATAAATCACCGTTGGTCTCCTTGGCTTTACAGGTCATGGATCTCAAAGGCCAAATGATCTACATCATCGAGTCCAGTGCCATCTTGTTCTTGGGCTCGCCCTGTGTGGACAGACTGGAAGACTTCACGGGGCGAGGGCTCTACCTGTCCGACATCCCCATCCACAATGCACTGAGGGATGTGGTCTTGATAGGTGAGCAAGCTCGTGCACAGGATGGCCTGAAGAAGAGGCTGGGGAAGCTGAAGGCCACCCTGGAGCAGGCCCACCATGCCCTGGAGGAGGAGAAAAAGAAGACGGTCGACCTTCTGTGCTCCATCTTTCCCAGCGAGGTTGCACAGCAGCTGTGGCAGGGGCAGGTGGTGCAAGCCAAGAAGTTCAGCAGCGTCACCATGCTTTTCTCGGACATCGTGGGTTTCACCGCCATCTGCTCCCAGTGCTCCCCGCTGCAGGTCATCACCATGCTCAATGCGCTCTACACTCGCTTTGACCAGCAGTGTGGGGAGCTGGACGTCTACAAGGTGAGGCTGCCCCACTTCTCATGCAAATGAGAGGCTTGCTTTCTCTGCAGGTCCAGCGGGTCACATCCTGGGGACAGATGCTGGGTGTTAATTATGTGGGTGTTCCCCAGCCAGAAATAGCTCCAAATCAGCTCGGAGACAGAGCTAATTGTGCCCGGAAAGGACTGCTGTATTGTCTTTTCAAAGAATCAGCGCAGAATGGAGGGAGGACAGGCTGAATGGAAGGCCTGGAAGAGCTAGCATTGTAAATCAGTGGAACAGCCACTGCACTGGAAATTGGGTGGAATCGTTAAGCATGAGATAATCCAAGATCTGAGTCATGTAGGAGAACTTTGTAAAAGTAAAAGGACATGAGAACTATGAAAATGTCTCTAAACAGAATTAATACAGAGTTTACATGATCTTTTTCATAGCCAGTTACCACGAATCAAAATCACCTTCATAAGGCATCTTTATAGCTTGGCCAAGGGCGGAGAATGGGAACAAGGGAGGCTTGTCTTCAAATTTCACCCTCTGTCTTACTTGCTTTCTAAACTGAGCAAGTGAAATAACTTTTCTCATTGCTAAGAAAAAGAAAGAAAGAGCCACCCAAACATCTTTATGCAGGAATAATACATTACGTCCTAAAATACAAGTAAACAGGACTGTTGACAAAGATTAAAATAGGTGATGTACACGGGATGATCAAAATATACAGTAAATGTTTAAATTTTTTAAATTGCCATTCATCCCCCTCAAAGTGATCCCCTTCCCTTTGGATACTCTTAGCCCATCCTTCTAGCCACTTTCTGAAGTATTTCTGGAAGTCCTCTTTCTGGAGTATCTTTACAGGGTACGACTAGAAACGCAGTGAGTGCTGCTGCTGAGGCCCATCCAACAGAAACACAGGCTCGTAAAGACATTTTGCTGGGTCCTTGTCCACCTGTGTCAGCACTGTGCCACCCACTTCTGGCTCTTCCCCCAAACCTAAATGACTGTGAAAGGTAACTTTTGGAATCTAACCTGGACACAGAGGCAGCCAGGACAGCGCAAGCGAAGACGTAACAAAAGAGGATACCCAGACCTGCAGCAGAAAGCTAGGATTTGAAGTGAGGGCGAGTATTTTAAGGGAGATTAATGGCAATGTGTCTTTTACTGTAATAATTTTTTTTTACATTTCACTATATTTTTCAATCGCATCTCACCAGTTATGGATCGGGCATCCAAGATTTATTGAGTACCTATAATTAGCCAGGCATTTTTCCAAGCGCTTATCAACAGTGGCTGTGCTTGGCCTGCAGTAAAGTTTTTAATATAATTATAATTAGGAAGAGAGTAAATGAAGAAATTTCAAGTACCGTTAGCTCCTTTAGAATTAAAAGCTTTTACTGATTTAATTATTTTGCCTTGTTTTACATAAAGGCCTTAAGAATAAAGTATTTATCGTATTTGTCAGGCCACAGTCAGCTGTTTAATTTGCTGCATAACAATCTGGAATCCCAGGGCTTAACCCACATGAAACAAATAATTGCGGAGGGAACAGATTTCTTTACGGGAATGCATAAAGCCCTGCCTTGTTTCATTTGAGAAGCTAGGAGCGAAACTTTGCTTTGTGAGATTTCTTACAGGACATTCCAGACAGAGCTGTAAAGGGGCGTGTGTGTGTGTGTGTGTGTGTGTGTGTGTGGCGAAGTCCATGCATGATTACATGTAAAATAATTGGCTTCAGTGAGGTGAATTTTGAGGGGCTCTTGTGGAATTTGCTGTACTTATTTGTAGTCACTTTCTCTCTTGAGACTGTCAGGGTGCCTATAACTGTGAGAGTGAAGTCTTCCCCCATTGCAGACGCTGCGATTGTTGACAGGAGGCGTGTCCTCTTCTGCCTTGGGTGATTCTGACCATGACTATAGGGTGTAGTTTCCAAATACCTGACCAAGAGTTTGCAGGCTACTCTACTTCCTGTGAGTTCACTGGACTGGGCCACTGCACTGGAGTTATATAACATATCACCTTCTCCCGGGTCCTGATCCGTTTCTGCGGTTTGCTTCTCGTTCCACATGAATATCCCTGAGGAGAACTGACAGTAAGATGAGAAGGGTCTGAACACCAAATGGATGGCCACAGCCTGATTTAAGAGTATAGTGACTTCCAGGGAGTGGCCCACCTTATTTATTCTGGGGCCTGCTGTTCCAGGGCTTGCTTTATTTATTTATGTATGTATGGGTTTCTTGATTTGTATATCTGTGCATTTTTGTTAGTACATGTTCACAGTACATCGTGAGTGCATTCCTCATGGGGAGTCGGTACATACACATATCCATACTTAACCCTGTTTGCTTCCCCTTCTCTGCCTCCCTTCCCTCTTCATCCGTAGATTCTCTTCCCATCTCCAAAAGGTTTAACTCCCTGTTGCCTATCATCTATCTTTTATTTTGCTCCTTAAGTTGTTTATACTTCGGGTTTCTTATAAGAGAAATCATGCAATATTTAACCTCCTGTGTCTGTTTTATTTCACTTAAATGTATGCTTTCCAGGTATATCCATTTTCCCACAAGTGGAAGTTTGTATGAAAAAAAAATTCATTTTCTTTCTGCCTCTCAGCCTTTTGATCATTGCACTGTTGATATCTCTATGCTTTTATCCATTTCTTTATCAAACTTTTAGCGTTTATCCAGCATTTGCCAACATGAATGGGCCATGGGTGGGGAAAAGGAGGATGTGATCCCTAAAAGCTCATATGTTGGGAGCGAAGGAGAGAGGGGCAGAGCTAACAAGGGCCAGGTTCCTGTGTGAGGGGATCAATTATTCCACCCATGCAGGTACAAATGATTGTCCCCAAGACCATAGGGGAGGTAACCAACCCCAAGTCACAGTGGGTGGCAGGGCTTCTCCTAAGCAGTATGTGTGCTGTACACCGGTGAGAGCTCAGCCATATGAGGAGCCCCTCCATGCACTCATAACTGAGGAGCAGCTTAAGGGAGGTGGCACTGCCTGCTCATTCATTATTGGGCACTGGCAGTACAAGAGTGAAAATAAACTCAAACTTAGAGACCTTATTTGGGGGGGGGATAAAGACAATAAACAAGTGAGTATATTTCCAGTATTTCAGTTGCTGTAATACTTTGGAGGAAAAATGAAGCAGGTTAAAGAGGGAGAAAGAATGCAGAGGGTAGGAGATGCTACTTCTTTAAAGAGGGTGCTTAGAACAGGCCTGTCCGAAACGGATGGTGTCTTATTAGGAGACTGAACAAAATGAGGGGCCAACTAATGGTTTTTCTGCAGACAGCCTGTTCGGTGAGGAGGAATTGCAAGTTGGAGAATACTTGGTATCCTTGAGGGATAATAGGAGGCCAATGACATTGGAGAAATGTGAACATGAGACAGAATTAAGATATGAATAAATAATATATAAATAAAGTCAACGATTAGCAGAAAGACAGGTTAAGGACAACGTTGGAGCTATTGTAAAGGGCTTCAGTGTTTACTCTGTGTGAATGGGAAATTGTAGAAATCAGTTATTGAGGTTTTGTCTCCTTTTGTTTCTCCTTTCTCACTTTAATCCTTTCACAATAGAGGCCATGGTGAAGAGAAATAATTTGACCTAGTGCATTATGATAAATATTTAAAAGAGAAGAAAAATACAACTAATGGAATGAGAGGAATTATTTATGGATTTGAATTAACATCTAGCTTACTGTGACTAATATCACAGGGAGATTGAAAATTGCCTGTAACAATGATGGTGATGATGAGGAGGAGGAGGAGGAGGATGATACTTGGAATTTATAGAACAACCTGATTTTCAATAGCCTGTAAGGCAGTCTTGTTTTTGTCTCTGGGTTTGACATCTTGATTTCTATCCTTTGTGATTCAGACCTGCGAGACACTTAATGATTGTTACAAAATACCAAAAGTCTTAAAAAACCCATATCACTCTTACTCCTATGACTGTTCATATCTTAACTTTATATTACACATTTTTATTGCAGTTAATACGATATTTATTGAGGGGCAACTTCATGCAAAACACTATTTAATGAGGGAGCTACAAAATGGTATAAAATGATCCTGATATCTTAAGCAGTTTATTTTAAGTGCAAAATATATCATTTGTTTCTACCAAAGGTATTTTTGTTATAAAAATGTGAAAAGAGGTTAAGAGACATGGTGGGTTAGTGGCAGGTCCAGAGCAGAAGGCCCCAGATTTTTAGTTTGCAGGATTGCGTGGCTGTGCAGTGTGGAACTGATGTAAGAGCCGAAATGTGGTGAATTTCCTGAAAGGGACAGTAACTTCTGAGGGTTTCTGATTTACTCTGGCTCATCAGAGTAAATTTCCCAGGATAAATGATTGCCAGAGCACTGAGGATTCACTGTGTGATTTTTGATTTCTGCTGTGATGTGTGCAGTGATTCTCCTGCGCTTTTCTTTGTAAAGTGCCAAATTGGTTCTGTCCAGGTGGAGACCATTGGAGATGCGTACTGTGTGGCTGGGGGCTTACACAGGGAGAGTGACACCCACGCTGTGCAGATAGCACTCATGGCCCTGAAGATGATGGAGCTCTCCGACGAGGTCATGTCTCCACACGGAGAACCCATCAAGGTAAGGGGTACGGTGTGGTCCAGGAGAGGTCATGGGACCAAACCCTCCCTAGCTGATTGGCCAAAGAAAAATGGTTAAATTGGGGTTTCATTGCAGGGAGCAAAATCTTCTCTATTCTGTTAAAACAGGAGGAAATTTACTACCAGCTATTACTAACTGCTTACAGAATCACTGAGAGGACTGGATGGCCATTTATAGGTTCACAAAATGGCTGCCAAAGATACACTTCGGGGCCACTGCTTTCTCCATGGCCTGGAGCCTGACTCCAGAGCTACACCACCATGGCCACAGCGAGAAAACTACCATGTTCAGAAAACTGCTGCCTCTCCTGCTGACTGCCGAACAAAATTGCACCCATTCTAATTTGAAGGAGAAAGATGGAAACCCTACACTGTGACATCAGAGGACTTTGGCCTGGAAAATGGACCCTGTGCTAAGCATGCAATAGAAAACCCAAACATCTCCACAACTGTGCTCCCACTTGGAGCAAAAGAAGTGCAATCACAGTGGAAATCTTGCCTTCCACACCTCATACAAATGCATCAAATGACTAACTTAAATGCATCTAGAAGCTGCAAGCCTTCTAGTTTTCATTTTTCCAGCACTTATAATGAGGATATTATGTGAGGATGGATGTTGAGTACAAGTCCATTAGTATTTTCCAAGGCTTATAATGTTTTGAAAATTTTAAATGATCCATACTCCAGAATAGTATCTTATTGTAGATAAATCTACCAGGTTAGGTATTAGTATATGAGATGGAGGATGAAGGACCTACAGTTCTATGTCCTACTTAGAGCTGATCTTCCACTAAATTTTGTAGAACTGTCTTCAATGGATGACTTTCAGACATGGGTCCTTAAAGCAATGTAGAATCCCATTATAAAGTTAGAAAGAAGAAATAAAAAATTTTAAAACAACTATTGTAATAATGAGAGGATTAGTCTTTGCCTTCCTTAGCCTTGGCAGAAGCCATCTGTCATTGAAACTGATTTCTCAATCTGCTGTCATGCTTTGTCTCTACTGCTCAGAGTCTTGAACCTTGGTTGGAAGCACGCTACCAGTTGAGGGTGCCTGAAAAGCTGAGGTTGCCTCACTCGGAGCTGGAGAACCCATTCCAAGATGGCTGCAGGATGAGGGTGGTGGACAGCTTGGACCCAGCCTGGACTGTTGGCCCATTGCCCTGTGTGGTATTTCAGTGTAACGGTCTCAGAATGGTCACACTTCGTACATGGTGGCTCAGGCCCCAGCAAACATGACTGATGGAAGCTGCATGACTTTTATGACCTAGCTATGCAAGTTGTTGAGGGATACTTCCACTTTATTGTATTAGAGCAGCGATGTCTACCCAGTAGGCAGCAGATTTCGACCGTGTCTCCACAGGAGGAGTGGAAAATAATTCAGAGCTGTGTTTTAAAAGCATCACAGCATTGAACTTTTCTAGACATATTTTAATTGCATTTTCAAAAGAGAAATATGTATGTATTCCTTTCTAATTTTTGTGCAATAATTCAACACATCAAAGCAAATGTTAAAAATAACAGGCCCAGTGATTTCCACATAAATGAATTTCTTAAGATGGGGCAGGGAGAGAAGAGCAAGATTAATGGCATGATTTTTCTTACTTGTCTAAATGGATTTTTGTACTTGGAAGAATTGTATATAGCTAGCTTTACCTGGGTAATTGTAGGTTAGTTTGACTGAGTGATGAAGTGAGACATTAAACGTATCTTTTCATGAGTAGAAGGTCCCAGGAAATATGAGATGAGTTTAGGAGATAGGTGTGAATCATCCCGGAGGCAGAGGGGAGGGAAATGAGGCTGTGTAACAGAGGGGAGCTAATTGTCACTTAAACGTTGTTTCACTTAATCTATATAATGACATGATGAACAGGATTCATGATTGCTGGTGGACAAGAGAGGTCAAGTCTTGCACGAGTCAGGATTTGGAATCCTATTTGGCTTCAAAGCCCAGACTTCTACTTTTTTACTCTGCTGTCTCATGGACTAGAAAGAAGAAAAACGACTTCCTTTTCTTCTTTTCAAAATTGTTCTTTGCTGCATTGTATCACCATGCACATCATTCCTGCCCCCTCTTCCTGCTGGTGCCCTCATGAACCTCCATCTACCCAGGGATAGAAAAGTGCAAGTGAACTGCAGGTGGAGACGTGAGCTGCACGTTACACCGAGGGTCAGAAAGTGGCAGCAAACATGGAAGCCAGCTTGTCATCCCCTCCTTTTCTATGCCCAGAAGCCTGGCCCGGGAAATGAGCTAAGCCAAAAGTGGTCCCCACATGGAAGATTCCCCCATAGGTTTCCTTCAAGCTTGCATTGGGTGTCAGAATTCTAAGTCTTCCATGATTCCACATACGAGCCTTTTTCCCACGAAAAGAGATACATTCAGGGCATCATGTGCATTGTATATCTTGGATCATTTTCTTGCTCATGAATATGAAAATTTCCCTATGAAAACTGTGGGTTGGGCATGAGGTTGATAACAGAAGAGGAGTCATGGAAAGCAACAGTTAAAGGAATCAGAAAGACTGGCTTTGTGAGAGAATGCATTTACATAATATTTATGAAATAATAAAATTGCTATGGTAGACTTATAGAAAAAGTTAGAATAACTAAATATCAGAGAAAAACTTGTTTAAAGAAGGCTCAAGAGAGCAAAGACTTCTCATCCAACATGTGCCAGAGTCATGGCTTATGTTTAGGGATAGAAGATAGTGTTGTATTATCTTTTCTTATTGTATAGTTGTTAGATCTGTAAAACCCTATTCTCTTGAAGAAGAAGAGAGCCAGATTTAGCATCCGTCTGAGTCTCACTCCATAAAGTAAAACTCTGACTTTAAGAATCATCCAACACTGTATTTTATGTATGATGAAGTGATCAGAGAGAAATAAAGTCATGCTATCAATGACTAGTGGAGTTCGGTTAGAATGCAAATCTCCAACTTCATAATGTAGTGTTTCTATTTGAAAATATGTTAAAATTCATTGTAAAACATTTTAAAAAGCAAATGATTCTAGAAAGTTGGTAGCAGATATCTAAAATAAGATGGAAAATTGGGCAGAAATGGAGTCCACTGATTCTTAAATTACGTCTAAATTATTGAATCCATGGCTTTGGATTAAAATGCATATATCTCGTAAGACTTTTTCAAAAGGTCAACTAAACATAAAATTTGAAAATAACAAACAAAATATCTGTCATATAAAATATGTTAACTTGCTTTGTTGTGGCAGTAATGTCAGAATCTGGGTGTCCTTCAAATCATCAAGTCATCAGGTCTTTTGAAGGATCTCATTTTAAAACATTGCATCTCAGTGTCTCCCTAGATCATGCATAATTCCTAAATTTTTACTCCTGCACATCCACTACGGCCTCTTATAACCCAGACATGGTACAGTTTTGTCATTCCATGGGTCTGGATTTCAGTGACTGTAGACTACATAGATCACAGTCATTGTTATTGGGCCTGAACAACTGTTACCATGTAGATAGGAAGTGACCCCTGTGGCTTACATATTGAGGTTTTGGTTTGCAATAGAGCAGTGATCAGAATGGGGGCTAGAGAGGCGACTGGGTTGTGAGGATGCCAAGCTCCTCACCAGCCTGACCTACTGAAGAGTTCACAGCTGAGTGGGCCACTGAGAGGTGGGCCCCACTGGAGGGGCTGATCACTGGGGGTACGCCTGTAAAGAGTGTGTCTTCCTGGGGCTCCTTGCCTTCCTCTCCGACTCCTCCTGCACTCTGCTTCGCTGCCATGAGGTGAGCAGCTTTCCTCCATCATGCCCTTCCACTATGATATTTCTGCCTTGGCGCTAGCAGACCATGGACTGAAGCCTTTGAAGCTGTGAGCCAAAAGAAATCTCTTCCTTTAAGTTATTTGTGTCAGGTATTTGGTCACAGTAATGAAAAGCTCAGTAGTACAGCAATGCAACTCCAGTTTTCTTCTTCGTCTTTTTCTGCTTAAATATTGCAATTGCCTTTCCTCGGGTTTTAGTTGTCTGAATAATGGAAGTGTTTGGGATAAAGTTACTCTAAAGAAAAACATCTTTTAAATCTTTTTTGTTTCTCTTGAAATGAAATCGAATTATATTGCCCGGGCTTCCTTGACCTCCCAGGCACAAGGTGTGATGCCTGGCTTTTCAGAAACCCATCTTAGATCCATAGAATTAACTTCTTTCATCCTTCTCTATCCCTGTTTTGGGAAACAACTGCGGGAGTTCAGAAATCATGTCTTTCTTGCTTGATGCCAGAAACTGGTTTACACCTGCATCTCTGTTTGTCTCGGGGATGACTATGGGATGTGTGCCTGATCATGGAAACTCATCTCAGATATCGAAGATGGGTCCAATAAAGACGGTTTATTTAATAAACTGAAGTGCACATGTAGAGGAGATGACTGATTCTGTACTGGTAACTTATACTTGCTTACTGCAGAGCAGAGGGAAGTTGACTGGAGGTTTTGAGGAAGGGAATGGTATGATGGGAATTACTGGTAATATAATTTTTTTAAATTTTAGTTTATCAGTACATGTGTGTAACACATAATGTTTACTCTCCTTGTGGGAAGTTGGTATGCACACATAACTCATCTTAATTCCTTTTCTCATCCTCTTTCCCTATCCTTTGTCCCCCTCCACCCATCTTCTGATTCCCCCTTTTCAGGTACATTCTTGAGTACATAACATTTGCATTTTTTGTGTGGAGTTTGTACCTGTGCATGACACATCCCAGTTCCTCTCTGTTCATCCCTTACCTCCCCACCATTCCCTCCTCCCTTGAGACCCCTTTCCCTTGGAAACCTTGGAAACCTCCCCACTTCCTATTCTCTTTCTTTTATTTTGCTTTTTAGTTTTACTCTGGGTTTTTCATGTAAGAGAAACAATGCGGTATTTATGCTTCTGTGTTTGATTTATTTCACTAACATTATAGTCTCGAGTTGTATCCATTTTCCTACAAATGACTCAAGTTTGTCTTCCTTTAGTGCAGAGGTACTCCTGGGCTGTAAAGACCACATTTTATTTATTCCTTCATCTGTTGACACACATGTGCGCCACTTCCAAGATTTAGATATTATCAACTGTGCCGTCCTAGCTCTTGCCCTTCTTAAGGCTATCATAGAGAGACACATACATACCCACATTTGTAGTAATGTAATCACGACAGGACGTTCAAACAACACTGTCAAGTGGGAAGTGGTTCACCAGTGACCATAAGCATTGTTAATTGTGCTTTCAGATGCGAATTGGACTGCATTCTGGATCAGTGTTCGCTGGAGTTGTTGGAGTTAAGATGCCCCGTTACTGTCTTTTTGGAAACAATGTCACTCTGGCTAACAAATTTGAGTCCTGCAGTGTGCCACGGAAAATCAATGTCAGTCCAACGACCTACAGGTACTGATAATGTTCAGCACTTGAAATTTATTGTTTTTATTTTTGTACCATTTTCATTTTTTGTTGATTTCATTCGTTTTCCATAGGCCTTCCTTAGGTGATCTTAAAGGAAAAAGAAAAGCAATAATTTTTGTCCCCCTCACTTCATCTTGTTCTTAAGACACTCAGGAGCCTCATGCCATATTGTAGCCTGATGGCAGTTCTTCACGGATGTCACGTCTTCTTCCATACTTTTTCTTTAGGAAGATTTATTCATGATCTCAGTGTGTCAGTAGGGATTCTGATAGCAGCTGTACTCCAGTACGAGTCTAGCACGAGCCACTCGGAGTCAGCACAGTCATAAGCACAGACTATAGGGCACAGCACCCGAGACGTCTGCCTCTACCCAGATGGCAGACACACTACAGGGTCCTTAGGCCATCAGCACCCTTGGATTCAGATGCTGCCAAGACCTCTCAAGGCAAACAGTTAAGCTGGTACAACCCACAGTAGTCAGGCAAGTGTCACACATTAGGATCAGTCAAATAAGAGACAGACAAGCTGAGGTCTGGGTGGGTCCCAGACTCAGAGCTCCATGTCCCCTGCCTTATGGGATCACAGCGTGTTGTCCTTCACCACCTCAGTGGCTTTACCAATGAGAAGGTGCCATTGAACTTGGAGCTTTGCTCTCTGGACTCATTAGTCTGATTATGTAGATGTGGTTGATTGATTCAGTGCCCAGCACCCAGCACCTCTTCCTCAGGCTAGCCACTTTTCAATAATATGATTGATTTTTCTGGAGTCCTCTCCTGTTCTGTATCAACCCATTACCATAAACTCTGGGGTGATCCAAAGAACTCACGGAAAACCGAGATATTCCTATAATCCAGGAAATCCTGAGAGTTTTAGAAGATCCCTTCCTATAATCAAGAACAGGACCAATCAAATTCCCCATGATGCCTCAATGTTGAGGAGATAAAACACCAGCAGGTCATTAAATATTTTTCCAAGTCTTCACAGTCTTATGGACTCGTGGCAAATCTTCACCTAGAAAGATGGGAGCTGTGCCTCCTCTTGCATCAAGAGGACCCCTTTTTGTACATCTCCTTGACATTGTGCAGTGGGCAACCCAAGTCACCAAAACCTTCAATTGTGGTGTCATTTATCTACCTTGAGCCAGAGAATAAACCAGCCACACAGGCAGAAATATATCTGTGGTATAAATTTTGTCACATGGAAACCCTTAAATAATAGAATCGTTTTCTAGCTTGGCATGGTAGGTAGACTAGCTTTCCTATTCTCATAGATAACCCTTTTGGAGTAGCTTCTTTTTTTATGAAATCTCCTCTCCAGCCCACCCAGTTGGTAACTGCTTTGTACATCACAGCGAAAGCAGAGCACTGCTCATCTCCACACTGTGGCCACCCCAGTGGCCCTGTCTTGGGCTTTGTTTCTGTGGCACTAGTCCATCTCTGCCTCCACTTGAATACAGCTTTGCTCTGGACTCTGTCACCTCCTCGAGAACTGTCCTACTTAAAAATAACTGCATTCTGTCCATGGTCAATTTCTCTTGGATGAAATGATCATTGCCAATAGAATACACGTATTTCTTACTATAAAAGCTCTTGAAAACTTATAGCTCTTTATTTCCAAGTCCATGTCCTGATACCACCTTGTATTTCTGCTTCTTTACTCAGCAAAACTCAAAGGAGTTGCTAGATTCACTGTCTCGATTTTCCAACCTCTTTCTTGCTCATTCACAGCTCCATGAGTGCTTGTCCCTCCCTCACTGAGACGGTTGTTTCCAGGTCGTCTGAGTATCTGGCTGAGGTCACCCTCTCAATAGCAGTTGCATAGGCTAAGCAAAGTATCTTTCCTTAAACACTTTCTTACTTAGGGTTTTGGTGCTGCGCCAACCTGGTTTCTGCTCTATCCCATGGCTGTACCATCTGAGAGTCCATGTTTCTCCTCTTCTCCATTGCACCTGTGCACACTGTAGTGGCGGTGCTCTGTCCCTTTCCATGAGCTTTTATGATCGGCTGTCTCTCTGGGGATGCAGGTGTGCACCTGTAGCTCCAGTCCCTCAGAAATCCATGGCCAAGGACATGTCAGCCCAGAAGCTCCAGAGCAACACAGCAAGATCGTATCTCAAGAAAAGTGAATTGATTACATTTAAAAATGAACTTTGATGGCTCCCACATTTTAAAAAAGTCTCTAATCCATTTCATAAATCTCCAGAGAGCTACAATTAGATTAATTAAATGACTAATTGGCACATTAAAATTGACTTGATGGAATGATTTCCCACACACTATCTCCTGACAGAATCCACTTCCCACACAGCCAAGTTTGCTGATCACCGTCCAATAGCCCCACCATCTGCTTACTCAGACCAGACCTTGAGCCGCATGGTGAACAAGCCTTTTGTTCCTCCTCGCTCTCTGTTTGGGCTGCAGATCTCATCCAGAGGGAGCGGAGTTCACCTCCCTCGCCCTGCAGTGCATACCGTGCAGCCTGCTCTTGCCCTCCCGGCCTGACGCCGATCCGCCTCTCCCCTTCCCCTGACTATTGGAACACAGGCCCGGGTAGCTTTTATTCCTTTGAACAATACTTTGCTTTCCATTTACTCTTTCACAGGAAGTACTTATGTTTTTGTTTTGTACTGGGGATCGAACTCAGGAACTTGCACTTGTGAGGCAGGCGGCGGCATAGCTGAGCTAAATCCTTGGCCCTATTTATGTTTTATCTAAAGGGCAAACAATAGTTAACATGTTTTATTTAGACAAGAAATAAACACTATAATATACTATTAACGACACTTCAAATTCCTTTCTTTTGGAGGTCTTTTATATTTTCCCATGTGATAAGAAAACTTAAAAGGAAAATGATCATTTACATTTCAATCAAACGCCCATGCTTTGTGAAATTTGATTAATAATATTGGTGCATAGTTTTAGTTTTACTCAAGACAAGTCCAAGACACGGAGGATACACTTTTGGATCATATACACATATAAAAGAACAGCATATTGAATTCTGGAATGGCATTTCTCATATAATAAACTAATCTTTCAAATATCAAATGTGGGTAACTTCCTTGATATATTTATGAAGTTTATGTACACTCAGAATACAGAATACATCCACATACCAAAAATCATTACCTTCAAGTTTCAGTTTCTAAATTTTAATCAGTGATTCAGTGTCAGAATGTAATTATATATTCTGTCAGAATGACAATTATACATTCCTTTCTTTAAATGTCATAAGGAGTTTTGCTTTTATTTTAGGTGACAATATTACGCATTTTTCTTTGGTTGTATTGATGTAAGGAAAACGAATAGAGACTGCACCAGAGACTGTTGCAGTTACACATCAGTGGATTAACAATGGAGGTTTCCATGGTGACCTAGGCATCACTACAGGTAAAGGTGACAGGTGAGGGGTACAAATGGATGTGCCCCCCTGAGAGGTGGATAATTATATTTGTAGGGGATCTCCAAGAACATAACATTTGAATTCTGTCAAAGGAAAGAACAAAGTGAATAAAGGAATATAGGAAAGATATAAAAAACAGGAGAGTTGATGCAATAACATATTAACTGGTCAAGGCAGAGTGGAGAAAAACTCATGCCACCTGAGAACGTCTGGATATGTAGCTGCTTTTCCTGAGCAGCACTGCCATCAACCTTTCAATGATTTTTTTTTACAAACTGCTTTTCTTATAAATTCTGCTCTTTTTAAAAAGATGGTTTAATGAACACTTCTAACTCTGTGACACAATTGTGTTTGCTTCTTTAAAAAAAAATAGGATATGTTTTCAGAAGATGTGTCTTAGATTTATGATCCTCAGCAACATACTTGATTAGTTTGTTATATATTTTAAGCCTATTGTAAACAATGAAAACTTTTACATACATTTAAATATAAGATTATGATTGTAACTTATATTTAGTAAGAGATACTGGGTTGATGAAGGAGAAAAATACATGTATCAATCATCTTTAGTTTTATATATATTTTTAAGCACCTATAGCTTTATGCAATTTGATATTTAACTTTTAAGCATATGGAAGACATTTTTAAATACACGATTGAAAAGAATAATATGGCATCCAGTGTAGCCAACAGCAATATTTAACATGTCCACATTTTACCATATTTGTTTCAGAACCATGTTATAGAATAAATGAAATATAAAATAAATATAATATATAAATCTATAATAAAATGTAAATAAAATTAAAGCTAAAATAAGAAATGAAAATGAAAATATACAAGAATTAAAATATTATGTGCCTATCGTCCTGCTGTCTGACATGGTGGATCTTGCAGCCCTTAGGATGGGTAGGAGCAGGTGAGAACCTGTACTCCCTGCAGAGCAGAATTCCAGACAAAGAAGCAGAAAGACTCAGCGGAACATGTTTGCAGGAGCTTCCCCCCAGGTCTCTGTGATGCGAGTTGTTTTGATTACCAGGAAGGAAAAAGGACAGAAAGAAGTCAGGAGGGTGACACTCATTCAGGGGCCCGACAGAACAGTGAAGCCAGAGAAAAACAGCCTGCTACCACCCACTACGTCCATATCTTTCTATGACTTATTTTGAGTCTTTTCAATATTATGTTTTGTGATTATTTTACATGGATTAAATGTTGCTCTAATTCACATAAATCTAGTTCACTCATTTTGACTATTCCTCCAGGCGGTGGTTTACCAGAAAATGAGCTTTGAGGGATGCGAAGTCAAAGAAAGAACTTCTCGTTTTTAGTATTTGCCAATGTCTGTGGTATCAATATATGCCCACTCTGGCAGGTTTCAGGCTACAGATTTTGTAATCATCTTGCATAATTCCTGGTAAATGGTTTTAACACTAGGTTTCACAAACCAGTACGAGTCAATTCTGGCACATCACTATATATGCACGCTGTATGTGTTGCATAATACCAGAGTATGAAAAGGCCAGAATCTGTCTTCTACCCATGGCTAATTTGAGTGTATTCACCAAATTCTGTGCCTTTTAAATAGTAGCCACTCAAAAATAATGATGTTTGTAATGAAACAATATTGATGTCTGTAGTGAAACCATAATTGTCATTAGTTTTGTTTTGCAGATTACATTTTGATTGATATGTTGGTAAAAGTTAGTTAAGAGAATACTCACATGTAACATTCTGCTCAGAGACACCTTCTTGACAGATGTATTTTTATTCAGTTCTTTTCTTCAGTACATAGGAAATCATCATGGCACCAAAATACAACCCAACACCATGAGTCTCTTTGTCTTCTGCGTGACACCATGGACGGGCAAATAGAAGGGCATGAGCTGCTGAGCACAAATGAGAAGAAATTTTCTATAGAAGCTGGTGTAGAGCTCAGAGTTATTCAGTGTTCTTATCCTGGCCTGAACAGCAGATTAGAGAGAACCCTTATCAAATTCAAATTTGATAGAAAGCTGGGGAAACAAATGGGAAGCGAAGTCAGAAACTTAACTAGTAAGATTTGAATTTAAAGTGAGTTTAGCTTAAAGGACAAGTAATTATGTAACAAATAATGAAATTTGTTAAAAATGAATTTTAGAAGAGAAATGCTGCAAATATGTACCAAAACGTAAGTAGAGTGCAAATATATACAATTAAATCTCATAAAATTTCTATTGAAATATTAAAAGAGCATTTTTCACTTCACTTTCCTTTCATAAATTTTTACTCATAATTTCTTCTTAGTAGTATTGACACAATTAGTGAATTGATAAATGGACCAGTGACTCACTTTCAATTTAGAAAGCTTTATTCAATAGCGTTATAAGTATATGTGATATTTGTTATTATTAGACTATCATTAGACTTTGGGATTATTTTATTTTTATTATTTTTAAAACATTGTGAATTGGGCCAGGGATTTAGCTCAGTGGTGCCGCCAGCTGCCTTGAAAGCACAAGGTCCTGACTTGGATCCCTGGTTCCAAAATATATATACATATTATGAATTGTACTGCTACATAGATGATATCTTTACAAAAATATTTTGTAACTATTGATGCTAGTTAGTGGAAATTTATTGTTGCGGTGGATTTGAGTCTTCATTGCAGTTGGGAAGATGGGTATCGACATTATGAAAGCCTTTGTCAATCACAACTGAAATGACTGGGTTAGTGATATTCATTCAGTCATGTCGCCTTCTTTTCCTGAGTGATCATTTCTGTTAGTATGGAATTTAACCTTTTCATTTTGATCTTTTCAGATTACTCAAAGACTGCCCTGGCTTTGTGTTTACCCCTCGATCCAGGGAGGAACTTCCACCCAACTTTCCCAGCGAAATTCCAGGAATCTGCCATTTTCTGGATGCTTATCATCAAGGAACAAATTCAAAACCATGGTTCCAAAGGAAAGAGGCTGACAGTGGCAGTGCTAATTTTTTAGGCAAAGCATCAGGCATAGATTAGCAGGTGATGCGCGTGTTCGTTACTCTCTGGGGTCTCACTTCCCTGAGAATGTGCAGAACCTCTGAAAGCACTTTAGGATGGCAGAAGGCTCATGAACAGCCTCAGAATTTTAGGAGTGAACTCACAGTCTACTCTTCCTTCCATTTAACATGACAAAAATGTATTCACTTCGGTACTTCAGCTTTTCTGTTTAAGAGAAACCTCAGAAAGTGAGTGTTGGGGTTGTAGTTCTATTTTCTAACAGTCACTTCCTGCCAGCACTCAGAATTCAGAGCTTGTGCTTACTCCAGGTCATCGTAGTCAGCCGTGCAGAGTGACATGGCGGCCCTGTGCCCGGGTGCAGGGCGTGCTTGTTAAGGTGTCTCTGTGGCAGCGTTGCCGGAGGAAGCCTGGACATGGAGACCTCAGTCCTTAGTACTGAGAGTTCTTTCGGCCTCTTCACTCTGCAGCTCATTGTATTTCCTCATTTAACTGTTAGCACAGGTAACCAAGCAGGCTGAGCTATTTTTTCTTTGTTGCATCTTTTTGTCATTTTTGCTTCTTTTGTTTTTAGAAAATAAGCAATTAGTGGTTAGATGCAATATGGTATGAAATAGTACTTCTGTAAATTTCAAAGAATGATTTCAGTTCTCAAAGTAAAAAATTATTCTCCATTATACATTATGTATGAAATAAATATATTCTTTGGATTGACATTTATTATTTTTTATTTTCCACATGGTAAAGCCCATTTCACTTGAAATTAGCAGTTTAGTTATTATTATTCATTTAAGTATCATAATTTTAAAAATATTGGGGATAAAAAAGGCTTATAGCCTATGTTTAAATGCAATACTATTCTAATTAATTTATCCAGGAGTGAAATGGTATTAAAGCATGACCCTAAGTCACAAGAGTGAAGCCTTTGTGCGTGTCTGCACATGTACACACACACATAGAATGATGTGGATGCCTTTAGCAGATGTTCTCTATTGCCATTCTGAGCCATGTAGGTTTCCAAGAAGAAAATCTAATTCCAGAAGTGAAAAATAAAGACTTTTGCTTTATCATTTTTTGGTAGATCATTTTTCTTAAATACTCGTGCTGAACATTGGTGTGTATAGGTACTAGGAATCAAGATTTTGTGTGACTACATAGACATCTGTGAACTTTTTAGTTGAAATATCTGGATAATATCCTCTAAAGAGATCGCTGGCGGTGGGAGAAATCTCTGAGCATTGTTCTGGAGCTTGAACTTCCTTTTTTGGCTTGCTGGGTCCAGATCCGAGGGCTTCACACAGGCCGCCCGAGTGCTCTACCACTGAGCTACAGCTTCAGCCCTGAAGTTCGAATTTTTATGTTTAATGAAATTTTTTAAATGTGCTGAGTTCAGTTTAGAAAATGATTTGATTTTTAAAAGAACAAATTTAAAAGCGAGAGAAAGATGAATATTAGTGTTTTTAAGTCAGCGTTAGCAGAACCGTGCATGTGCTGACTAATTTGGAGTTCTGTGATGTAGCTCAGTTTAAAGTTCCTTTAACTGTCTCCATTAGTCCCAAGCTAGCCTATGATGTCATCAGGAACAATAGTCCTTACTAATTGACCTCTAGACTCCCCAGGGTACTGTTGCAGATATTACAACGATTACTCTCTACTAAGTGACACTTACATGTATTAAAAGATGAGATATGTTTCATTAGCGCACCTTGTAATTTGGTTGTACCACCGCCTTGGGAAAATATATTTGCATTCTCACAGTGATAAGATGTTAAAAAATATATATATGAGAAAAATAAAAATGTAAATACCTTTTTGCTGAAATGGAATCTTTATTACAAGGAAACTAATAGGAGATATAGGACATAAGAATGCTTACAATAGAATGTTGTCTTTATCAAATACATTTTTAAGCAGACTCCAACTGAGTAGTAGATTATGATCTAGAAGTAAATTAATGAGTATTTGGAAGGACTTTTCAGGGCTAGGAGGGCAGGTCACTGGTTGAGCACTTGCCTAGTGTTTGTAGGGGGGTTTGATCCCAGCGCCTGCCAAAACAAACGAACAAATGACAAACAGCATCTTTTTTGTGTGTACGATGTATAACCACACACAAATATAGACAGAACAAATGAGGGAAATGTGTATATTCTGGGCAAAAAAGTTGTATGGGAATTCCTTGTACCGTTCCTGCATCTTTTCTATGATTTTGGCATTTTATCTAAATAAACTTGACCAAACAATTGTGTTCTTGTGGAGAAATTGTGTCATCCATGGCAGGTTCCCTAGAATACCCCCCAAAGGCCTGTTAGTTATGAAAAATGAAAATCAAAGAAGCAGTCAAGCAGACTCTTGGTTTCATTTCTACTCTTTCTCCAGCAGTTTTAAAACGAGACAGATGTCAAGCCTCAAAGGAAGAGAATGATAGGATCAGATAAGTCTTTGAAAGGCAATTTCTAAAACGGCGTGAATAAGCCTGGCCATGCATTTGCACAGATGGCATGTGGGCCTGTGTCTGTGTCTCACGGGAGATGACTCAGGCCTGATCCTGGGTTGTTCTCCACCCCCACCCCCTACCTCTCCCCCTCTCTCTCCCTCCTTCTTTCCTTCCATGCTGGAGGTCAAACCCGGGGTGTTCTGTGAGCTATATCCCCAACCCTTTTTATATTTTGCTTGGATTCAGAGTCTCCCTAAGTGGTTTTGGGGGGACTCGGCCTTGAGATGTCCCTGCCTCTGCCTCCCTCGGTGGTGCTGGGATTACAGGTGCCTGATGCTGTGCCTGGCTATTTTACTGTACTGGTATTTTACTGGTACTCAGTAGGAGCAGAGAGCTGGGGAATCTGGCAGTGAAATTTCACATCAGTCTCAGAGCCATTAGTTCTTCCTTTGCCTGATAGGGAGGGAAAGAGTTGCTTGTGCTTTACCAACCTCTCTTCCAATGCCTTCTCCTAAGATTGCCAGTCACATCAAGCCAGACCTGCCAGGCCTGTCCTAGGCTCCAGTGAGAAGGCATAGGATGGAACAGCTGCTCTTTAGTGGGTTTGCAAACGAGCAGTCTACTGAGAACAGATCGGGGCTCTGGGAGTTCACCCAGAAATCGCCCAATATGCAAAGCCACAGTGAAGTCTAAGGCTGTGTAATTTTTTTTTTAACTTTTATTTTGTTTTCAGTTGACATATATTCAACTCACTATTACAGTTCCAAAGAGAAGGACATACGAAATGACTGCAGTAGTTTGTTTTGTGTTTGAGACAGTCTCACTGTGTAGTTCAGGCTTGCCTTGAACTCACTATGTAGCCCAGGCTGTCCTGGAACTTGTGATCCTCCTGCCTCAGCCTCCCGAGTGCTGGGATTGCAGGTGTGCACCACCATGCCCGGCCTTTCAGTAGTTCCAAGTGTATGTGTTTGACCTGTATGGATCAGTATTAAGAAGTGACAAATCCTTCTGTTACATATTTTGTTGCGGAAGCTTGCTAGATCATGTCACAACTATCTGAGCCAACTTACAAAGAGAAAAGAGTTTATTTTGGCTGATGTTTCTGGAAGTTTTGGTCTCTGACGAGGTAGACCTAGTGATTTTAGGCCTTGCTGTGTGTGTCGGGGGCGGCTGCACATCCTGGTGGGAGTGTGGGGAGGAAACAGTGCACCGCACTCAGAAGCAAGAGAGAAAAAGGAAGAGAGAGGCGGAGTCCCGCCTCCCTCCCCAGGGCCTGCAGATCTGTCAAGGCCGCACGTCCTGAAGTTTCCAGGGCCTCCCCACAGCGCCTCTCAGCGGAGATGAAGCGTCTCACACGTGGGCCATTGGTTCTGGATCCAAATGACTTCCTTTTGTGTAAGAACCAAGTCTGTTTCACCCAGTCCGGTCCTGGGCTTTGGTGCTAACGTGCTGTTTTGGCAGTGGTCCTGGGACAGTTAAGTGGAGAACGCCTTGGTGGGTGAGGAGTGGGGCCGGGACATGGGAGTTCCCAGGAGAGCTCTCACAAAGGTGCACCGCAGCTCCTGTAGAGAGGACTTCCCATGGCCCTCGAAGAGAAACGCAGCCCTGCAGACACAGCACGGAACTGGGTTGCACACAGGGTAAAAGCTGGGACAGCCTGCCTTGTCAAAAAGAGAACACTAGAATGTCGTTTTCAAACAGGGTCTATGTACAGCGCGTGTCAGGCTATCTTCAAGCCCTGGGAAGTCTTGGCGACCGACCTCTCCTGAGAAGGGAAGGATGGCTCCAGTTGCAAAAGCCAGGCGCTCCCAGTGTGGGGAGCAATCAGTCTTCTATTCTGCTCTTAGTGTGTAAGTTCAATTTCCTTCTGCTCTTAGTGTGCCAGCTTCTAGATTTTATTTTCCCTCCGAGGACTAGGGATTTAACCCAGGGCCTCGCGCATGCTAACCATACATTCTTCCACTGAGCTACACCCCTAGCTTTTAGATTTTTGATCAAATGCTCCATTTAAAAAAATTTTTATTATATTAATGACAATCAATGGTATTAACTTTATGCCAATTTCAACATTGTACCTTTTACTGCCATCGATATGTCTCTTAAAGCAGCTTTGCTTTTAGTCAGACCTACATCAGACTGATCCACGTAATTCCATTTTTTGACTGAAACTATCCCCTTTGCTTCTTATTTATGCCCATTTCTTCCTAAATGCACTGAATGAAAAAAGTAAGGTCTTCATGAATGTATAGATTTCTAATTTTTAAAAAGTGAACAAAAGGAATATACTCCTTTTATAAAATAAGTGTAGATTCATTTCCATCAGAACAAACAGTTTCATAGACTATTAATATGTCAGACGTAAGCATTGGGATAGAAATCAGGACAAAATTTAAATGGCACATCCAAAACTGACTTAATCTCAAACATTCTAGAGGGAGTTTTAGCAAAAGTTGTGCCTTACTTTTGGGCTTTTTAATCTCTTAAGGTATATAATGTCATAAAATTAAATTGTAAAGAAATCTCCTAAATTGAGAAGAAAATTGCTTGGCAGAAAATGACTTCGCATAATGCACAAATCCCAAAGGATTTCCTAAGATACTTGCTTATTCTCAAATGGTGCCAATCCCATTGTTATGGGAGAAGGAAGTACAAGTTACCCTCAGAGTAAACTAAAACAGAACAAAGCAAAACAAAATACAGCTGCAGAAACTGGAGAGTCCAATGTGTTCAGTAGCACACACCTGGAATAAAAACCCCAAAGTGAAGCTCTCTGGAAAGTTCAATGTCCTTAGAAACATTGTGGCAATTCCAAGCACTGGGCCCTGTTTAAAGACCAGGCCCCTCTCCCCTGAATGAATGGTGTCTTGTAAAATGGAAAGGAATAAGAATACACTCGTACTTGAGAATTTACTGTTCTTTCACCTCTTCCTACCCAGAAATCGAAAATTCCCTATGAATCTTTGGTACAGAGCAGTGCTCTCCAACCTTTCAAGTTCTTGCACACTACAAGTCAAGTGTTTTAACAGCTGTTCTCTCTTCTCCTCTCCTCTCCTCTCTCTATGCACACATACATATGCATAGATACACTTACTTTCAACATACTACATATCAGTATGGCTTAGTTTCTTTTCCAAATGAGCATGATGTAAATAGAAATTATAGTGTTTTCTTCACCTGTCTGAGTGAATCATCATTATGTTTTGCTTTGGGAAATTTATCCAATCAGCCATTGGTTTCCTTTTTCATTGAGTACATATTACTTTGAGATTGACACAAAAAGATATAGATCATCACCCCTCCAAAAATGTGCCTGTGACCTTAGATCCCAAACATCCACTTCCAGAGCTTCAATAACTCTCAACTCTATTCCTAGACTGCTTCAGTGGGTACCGTGGACCTTACTGTCCAGAGGGAGCAAAATAGTAAATTTTAACTAAGAGCGCAACGTCTACAGGGGGAAATAATGAGTATGCTGGAACTGAGGAGATAATGAGAAAACCGGCAGGTGTCTGTGACTTTTGCTTCATGAGTCCACTTTTTATTTTTGAGCGATCAAGGACACTAGTGTTTTGGTCCTACTGTTTGGAATGATTCATGGGCTGAACATATAAAAGTTTTCAGCAAATACTTAAGATACAATACAACTCAACATTTTTCTCTAGCTTTTTGTAAATCTGCATTTCTCTATGTATATTTATTCTTTTCTAAATTCAGTAATTCTCTGAATTTGTCCTCTATATACAAGAAACTGACTCATAAAACTTTTTGGTACTAATTATATTCCTTTTATTATTACTTCTACCATTGCTTTAAATAACACATTTATTTTGAATTCTACTTCTGGCAGAGTTGCAAAGTCTATCAAAATGCTACTCTGTGCCTCAGAGGTTTGTTCAATATCACAGCTACATAAATGCCATAATAAAAGTGTTTAAATAAAATCCTCTTAAAATTTAAAATGAGTTCTGTTTAAAAAGAAAAATGAACCATTGAACCAAGTAAAAAGATTGTTCCAAGTTATGCAAATACATTCATTCTGATGTAGATCTCGCCACTGCAGACGGGAAAAAAACATCCAAAGTACAGGGCAGACCAACAAGGCCAGCAACTATTCTGTCGGCCAACTGGTGCTTACGGATCACTGCTTCCAAAATCCCTCCTCAGAATGTCGCTGTTCAACAAGGACAGAGAGAGCCAGGCACGTATCTTTACATACGTGAAGATTTTACTTCCAACAAAACCCATGAGGTCTTCCAAATCACACAAAAATCAAAGTTTAACAAAACTGAATTTAAAAATAAGTCTGTCTTAGGCATATCCTTGTTAGTCAAACAAGCTTAGAGGTCAATTTGTCTCCTTTATACTCGGTTGGAAGATAATTTTCCATTAATTTTGTGAGAAAAATAACTAGGCACCATCTTTGTTCTGCATTATCTTTTCAAAAATGTTCTTGTAGCAAGCACCTTTAGAAGATAATGTCTCCCACAAGACAAAAGGCAGACTTGCTTACTGCCCATCACAAAGGCCATGTGTCCCTAAACTCAGGGTCTTGTCCTAATGTGTAGTCCACTCTGTGATGGACTGCAGTTGTCACCTGTTCTCTTCACATTGCCCTGTGGAAACTGGGGACTAAGGGTCAGTGCAAGGTCGCACTGATACCCTCTGTGTGATGCTATTATTGTGATTTAATGCTTTGTTACTTCCCCAAGAGTCTTGTGTCTTCCATGAGCAGCTATGAACTTGCTGCAGTTTACTTTGCTAGCTTACAAAATGTCAGACCCTTCACATTTATTGGAAGGTCCTGCAGTG